GAAATAAGTGCATTTATAAAGCAGCAACATTATGTTTAAAAAATCTGACATGAGCAGGAAAATTTAAACAAAAAAAATTATCAAATCATTAATTTGAAAATCAAACTTGGGTGATACAGTACAATAACACATATTGAAAGGAGGGAATTTTCAGTGTTGTCAAGCCCTGACTACAACACATGTACATTGAAATAGGAAATATGTTTCTTTTATTTGTAGCATTGTGCTGTAATTGTCAAGCCAAAATCGTAATAGTGTCTGGCACCAATCTGTAGAGTTTATGAAATTAAGTATTGCGCACAAATTTTCTATCATACTCAACAATTCTTTACACCCACTAATTTACTATAAAGGTGTATCTTTAGATTGTGTTAAAAGCAATGGGTAAATTGGTCTAATTAATACTGCTCCCCTGCCCACAGCAATGGGTAAAAAAACAATGGCATAAAAGCATTGGGCAGATTATACAAACTCTGGACACACATACAGTATATAGTTGTATTTGATCCCTGAAAACAGCAGGTGTGAGGCAACAAGATTAGGTTCTGGGTTGCTGTCTCAAGCTTAGCGTACAAGTATATTACATCTACCATGTAAAGGATATCATTGTCCCAATCATAAGTGATAAAAATACAGCTGTCCTTACCTGAAACAGATGACAATACATCTGAGGAAGGCGATGTACCTTTTCTTGTACAAATTATTCAACTGTTGGAAAAAATTATAATATCTGAAATTTATTTATCTAATATACATATAGACACTTGCAGGATTAACTATGAAATATTTTTTTTATTTAATAGAGAATCATTTAATTGAGAGTTGGGTAATTCAGGTTGACAGAGTAAAAGCCCAGACCAATATTTTGTTTCAACCAACCGGTTGAGCTCAACTGGTTGGTTGAAACAAAATTCCGGTCTGAACTTTTATTCTCTGGACCTGAATTACCCAACTCTGATTAAATTGTACTAAGAATCATCTTGATATAGACAAACAGCAGTGTTGAGTTAAGAGAATAACTGTAAAACGTTTCTTTGCCACACATGGGCTAATGTACCTGAGTGCCAACAGTATATTCCAGTGCTTTATACATCGCAGAACTGCTGTCAGCGAGGGCAGCATCAAATTTGTCGAGTATTTTGAAGATCAGGTTCAGGGAAACTTCTGATCCCGTAGGAGGATCTCTAGAGAATGTGGTTGTAGATGTTGTTTTCAAAGTTGGACTAGTAGTTCTTCTACTAGTCTGAGTAGTTGGAGCAGTAGTAGTTTTTTGTTCTGTAGTACTTGATGATGGAGAAGTGGTAGGATTTGTAGTTGTTCTTAGTTCAGAAGCATTGCGCCTTGCTGTTGGTGGGATAGTGGGCATTGGAATGGTAGTTTGACGTAGAGTAGTAATGGAAGGTGTAGTTATTGTTGGTTGCGGGGTCGTTACAGATGGAGATGCAGTTGTGGGTTGGGTAGCAGTGGTAGTTGTGGCTGTAGGTGTTGTTAGTTGAACAGTAGTTGTACTTGGAATTTTAGTAGAAGTTGGACCATTAGGTGTAAAAGTTGTGGACTGGGTCGTAGTTGTGGTTGCTACTGTAGTTGTTGGTAATGTGGTGGTGGTACTCCTTGTTGTTTGTAGAGTGGTAGTGTTAGTAAGAAGTGAAGTTGGGGAATTGGTAGAAGTGAAAATTGCAGTTGAAGGTGTTGATTTAGTGATGGTTGTTGTAGGTGAAACGGTTGTTGTTTCTTGAGGAGCAATGGAAGCTGTGGTTGTAGTTGTTGTTGGTTGCATAGTAGTTATAGATGGAGATGTAGTTGTGGGTAGGGTAGTAGTGGTAGTCGTGGT